ATTCTCGTGAGTTCCAGCATCACTCAACTACATGCACCTGAACTCCAGCACAAGGCACGTGGGGCCACGTGTTCGGACCACAGGTTCAAGCTCACAGCTATAGCCGTTGGCTATAATTGTGCTGGGAAGGCTCTGCCCTCAAGCTGGGACTTGCACGTGGCCACGAGAGGACTGTGCCCTCTCATTAGTCCAAGGCTTGAACCTGTTCAAAACACTGTAGCCGCGCCCCATAATTTAGGCCAGTGGTCGGCAAACTGCGGCTCGCGAGCTACCTGCGGCTCTTTCATAAAATACCGACTTCTGTGCATGGGCCACGAAGTTTCAATCGCACTGTACGTGCACGCCCGCACATGGTATTTTGTGGAAGAGCCACACTCAAGGGGCCAAAGAGCCCCATGTGGCTCGCGAGCTGCGGTTTGCCGACCACGGATTTAGGCCATTACAAACAATTCAAACAATATAATACATTTCCTAGCAACCTTCAAATAGGTTACCCAGAATATTTTTATTGGAAAACACTAAAAGTATTTCCCATTCCTACACTAAATTAGGCGTGCAAAAAATCCTGGACAGAATATATTAGTAAGTTTTCTCAAAGCGTAAGAAAAGTGTTCAGTGGGAAAGGAATAGATTCTCCGAACAACTTAGCCATGGGTGGGGTAGGACAACTGGAGAGTGAGCATCGCTTTCCCTGTCTAACGTGATTACAGTAGCCCCCCTTATCCATGAGAGATGTTTCAAGACACTCCTCCCCCACCCCGCCCCAGTGGATGCCTGAAACTGTGGATAGGACCACACCCTATATCTACTATGATTTTCCCATACATGATGCCTTTTCTTCCTCCCCTCCCGCTGGCCTGTCCGCAGTGGGCTCTTCCTGTATTCCTATATCTGCCCCGGCTTACCCCATCAGGGTGAGAAGGAAAATGGGGGGCAACTTTGGCTGCTTACAGCCTAGTTCAATATCTAGTTAAATAGTAACCTTACTTCCCCATTCTAACTGACTGAGGGGAGCTGCAAAGCCCACCCGAGGGCCCGCCACAGAGGATACATATACCAAAACCTCCCCACCTTGGCAGTTCAGGCTTTGGGTCAAAATCCGCTGGCCCAGCAGCGCTGCACCGTCAAGGACCTTTCCTGGCTCCTCTGGTGCCGGCTGTCGTCCTCTGGGGCCATTTGCCACAACAAGGGCACATCCCTCTGCGCTGGAATGTGCACCACGGGGGCTCCTGTCTGCCGCACCAGGCACAGGAACGAAGGCCAGTGGGACAGATGGATACCGGGAGCCCGACACAGGACAGGCTCTGGCAGCATCTGGGCCGCACCACTCTGGGCAAGTAACCACGTCTCCGAGCCTGTGTCTTCACAAGGGCAGTCGCTTCTTCGGAGGGCTACGAGGAGAGTAATCTGTTAACCACATATCGCACTAACATGTACACTGCCAATACTTTTTAGTCCAACTCCCTTCCTTGACTGAGGAGGTGACTACAGCGCAGAAGGGGCTGGTATCAAGTTAGAAGGCCGTTGGGACGAAAACCCAACCTTGTGACTCCACAGCATCCCGTACCTTTGGACTCTCACCGCCAACCAGTGGGCAAATGACCTCCAGCCTCCCATACTGAAGCAACTGCGTACATTTAAAAATACTAAAGGCGCAGAGGCGGGCTGGAGGGGGCAATGGGGGAGAATGGGGACACATGTAATACTTTCAGCAATAAAGTATTATTTAAAAAATAATAAAAAATAAAAGTAAAAAAATTTTAAAAAATACTAAAAACTGGGATCAATGAAATTTAGGATGTGGTATTTACTCTTCTCTGTCTTGAAGGAAAGGATTATCCAGAAATAGGAGAATAGAGAGGCATAAGACACACATTTTATTCTGTTCTTTATGTACAAAGACTTTTAAGTAGCTACAGAGCTTTCTTGCGCGTTTACCTTTTTCTTCTGTGGCACTAGCACCAGCATCACCTCATTCTTAGAGCCTGGAGCTGACAGGGGTGGGGTGCTTGTCACCCTGTTAAACAGTCTCCAAGGAAAGTAGAAATGTTGAAAAAAGGCAGTTGTGACTTGGAGCAAAAACCAACCTAGTTATTTGTGATTATATGTCATGTTTTTTTAAGGCCACCCCCTCAGTAAGCCAACGGTGCGTGCTTGTGCGGGTGTTGTTTTAAACAGAGCGAGTCGTATTGTTCCTCAGCTGCAGACCAATAGCCATTCTGCACCTCCTGTTTAAATTGTATTAATTAAAAGAACAGGTATTGTGTTTGCTTTGTCCCTCAATGTTTTTTTTGTGGTTATATTTTTTAAAGTAGTCACCTTTAAAAAGTGTTTTTGACTTTTCTCTCGAAGAGTGCTGTTAATGCCTGGCTGGCGTGGCTCAGTGGTTGAACATTGACCTATGAACCAGGAGGTCACGGTTCAATTCCCAGTCAGAGCACATGCCCAGGTTGCAGGCTTAATCCCCACTGTGGGCCGTGCAGGAAGCAGCTGATCAATGATCCTCTCTCATCATTGATGTTTCCATCACATTCTCCCTCTCCTTTCCTCTCTCAAATAACAAAAAAACATATATATAAAAGAATGCAGTTAATGATACTTTCCATGAAATATAGGAAGTATAAGGAGGCATACTGAAATGTGTTGCATCTACTGTGTGCCAGGCACTTTACGTGGGTTAGCTGAGTGAATATTCAAAGAACATTGCGAGGCAGGTGAATGTACCTACCTTATTACAGGGGAGGAAGCAGAGGCTCTGAGATGTGAAACACTGTGGGTCTGAGTTAAAAGTCCACTGGGATTCATCCAAGCGTGTTTGTTTTCCAAGTCTGCCCAGCGATAGGCGGTGATGGAGCCAGCCACGCTGCCTGCTCTAACCCTGGCCTGCTGCTTGCCAGCTACGTTAACTGTGGGCGAATTTCAGAATCTCTCCAAGCCTGTTTTCTTATGTGTAAAGGAGACACTATTACAGCGGTTCTCAACCTGTGGGTCGTGACCCCTTTGGGGGTCGAAAGACCCTTTCACAGGGGTCGCCTAAGACCATCCTGCATATCAGATATTTACATGACGATTCATAACAGTAGCAACATGACAGTGATGAAGTAGCAATGAAAATAATTTTATGGTTGGGCCACAACATGAGGAACTGTATTTAAAGGGTCGCGGCATTAGGAAGGTTGAGAACCGCTGCTCTATTATATAATCCCTCTTGGAGGGTAGATTCTTAGCAGGGCACCTTCTTAGCCAAGTAGCTTATTCTCAGTCCTGGGCGACTGGGCCCTTCTCCTGGCCTTTGCTCACCCCTGGAGCACCTGCCTTGGGCCTGACTGTAGTAAGAGTTCTTCCGTGGGGTCCATTTATGCCAACTCTCCCCCCTTCTTCCTTCCTCCTAACTCCAACACTCTGAGTAGGTGCACTAGGAAGAAAGGAGGCAGAAAGAGAAAACGGAGACCCACATTTGGTCACAGCAGCTCTGCCTCCTAGGGAAGACATCGAAGTGACATCGAATCAAGAAAAGCTAGCCCCGAGTTAAACAGAACTAGTTGTTTTGCATAATAAAGTAAAAATGTTAGCCTTTCCAGGATTAGTTTTTCCAAGGGGGAGGGGTCAGAGAGGGAGGGGCCCAGAAAGATGAGGTGATTGCTTCCCGGGAAGGGGAGGGATGCTGCTCTGACTTTTTCAAAATGAGTGCCTAATACCCCACTTTAAGGCACAGTCTGAATGTTAACCCACAAACCTCCCCAACCCTCAAACTTGACTCCATGCCCCGGAGTCTGTCACCTGCAGCCCCTGGTGAAGAAACCAGAGTGGAGCCCAGTGTGAGGTGGGTGATGTGTATGGAACACGGATGAGATGCATGGAGATCAACCAGAATCCACACTCAGTTAGCAGATGCCGAGCTTTGAGGGAAGGGGTGAGGTGGAGAACTGTGAGACCCCCACTGAAATCCCTGGAGAGGCAGTGAAGGGTGATATGAGGTGGGTGAGGGGTGGTCAAGCTAAATTATATCCTGTCTAAAAGGATAGAGTGCCACAGCTGATGTATAGATCACAGGACAAGGGATTTCACGATGAACCAGGGGGGATTATCAAGTGATGACAGAGTCTATTATTCTTCTACAAGATATGCTACAGCTGTGTCTCTTCCAAGGTGAAGGTTTCCTGTGGGTATTCATGGCCCTTGAGGGTTAGAGGATGAATAGAAATGAGACACTCAGTAGAATCCAAACAGAAAGGTGGGGTAGACATGGCTTCTTGTGTCCTTGGTTAGTGGGCTGATGAGACCGGTGTTGAGGGGAGGGAGGCACCATCACGTCAGAAAAGCACCAGGTAAGTTCCCTAGATTTCAGCATCCAACGTTGAGTTTATAAAAGTGTGATTACTGAGAAATGCAAAGGGCTCTCCCATATAACGGAAATGTTCAGTGTAGTAGTTTCAAGGGCTGTTGACTTTTCACCTCAAGACCATGACTGGTCATTATAGTAAAGGATTTGTGGGCACATTTCCTTGGAAAATTTTCTCACTTAAATTTGTAACTAGGAGGCTCACTCACCAACCCCAGGAGAATCTACTCACTGACACTGAACTCATTGGACTAGTTCAAGTTAACGCATCTGGTGTAAAGAGATAGGAAAAACATCTTTTAGAATTAGCATATCTCTAAACAAGGTTGTTTTATAAGCAAAATACAATGACATTAGCGAAGTAACTTCAAAACACAAGAAGGATCAGGGCAAGGTGGTGTCAATGGCATTGTTTCCAACCCCCTGAAATCACTGCAAAAAACACACAGATCTACTAGGAAAGTATCAAAATGATTTGAGAGAAAGCGATGGGTATAGAAGACAGGCAAAGAAGATCCAACATATGCATAATGGAAGCCAACCCCCCCAAAATACTTAAAAGTAAGATAGTGCAGAAGAACAAATATAAGCAACTATTATAGAAAACTTTCCTGAAAACAAAGAAACAAACAGAATGACTTGAATCTGTATATTTGAGGAGACACAATGTTCCTGGGACACATGACCAGAACAGTCACCTCCAAGGCACTGTCTACTGAAACTACTAGACCTAACAGAACAGAAATCCTTTGGCCAAGTAACTTATACGGCATCAGAATGCTACAGAATACCTTGAAGCCGAAACATAGTGGAGTAAATGGAGGAAGAGCCACCCAAGAAAGAAAATGTGAGCCAACCATTTTTTTATCCAGCCTAGGTAGCCTTTTGACTACCCTGCCCAACTTGCTACCAGGTTCCCCGGTTCTGTTTCCTTTGAAGGATCTTGCACATTCCAAGTTCTTGTTCATCTTTTCCCACAATGAATGCTGCATGAGAGCAGGACCTTTGCTTTGTTTGCTGCTCTGCCTGCAGCACCCAGTGGTCAAAGGTTTCATAAACAAAAGAAATGTCACCAGGACTGTCTCAGTCAGTTCAGGCTGCTGCGACAGAACACAACAGACGGGGTGGCTTAAATAACAGGTACTTATTTCTCACAGTTCTGGAGGCTGGGAAGTTGGAGATCAAGGTGTCGAGAGATTGGGTGTTTGGTGAGGGCCCGCCTCCTGGAGTAGAGACAACCACCTTCTCACTGGGTCCCCGTGCGGCCTTTCCTTGGTGCGTCTGTGTGCAGGGGTCTTTCTCTCTCCTCCTCTACTTAGGAGCTCCGATACCATCATGGGAACCCCACCCTCATGTCCTCATCTTACCCTAACCACCTGCCGAAGGCCCCACCTCCAATGCACACACTGGCAATCAGTGCAACAACATGCGACTATGGGGTGGGGCTCAAACAAAAGCTTTCCTCTTCCTGCGCCTAACACGAGGCACCTGGCTGAGCTCTGAGGCTCCCCTGCTCCGAGATCCTGATGTTCTGTCCCTGAAAGGGGTCTGTCTAGCAAGAGCCCCAACTAACCACACGCTTATACTGCAAAGCGCCGTGCAGGCGATGGGGTTAAAACAATAGGTGCACAAACCTGTCATGTGTGGGGCCCAGTGCCCGCCCGGTGCTGGGTAGGAAGACTGGCACCGACAATATAAAACAGGAGAAGTGGGGTTTTTCTCCTACAAAGCTCTTACCACATATTTGACAACCTACAGGAATCATTTCCCTCTCTGGGCTGGAGCTAGGGACTGAAGGCAGGCATGTGTGGGAGGGGCAGTATTCACTCAGAATGGGCTCCATTTACTGGGAGGAATCCCTTTGTAATTGACTTTTTCTCTTCTTTTAAAGACAGAGAGGAAGACAGGAGAGAGAGACAGAAACATCAATCAGCTGCCCCTGCACGCGCCCTACTGGGAGTTGAGCCCACAGCCTGGGCATGTGCCCTGACCAGGAATCAAACCTCTTGGTACATGGGACAGATGCTCAACCAACTGAGCCACACCGGCCAGGCAGGAAGCATCCCTTTGTGATACCCAGGGGACTGCTTACCTGCTCAGAGGCAGGGCAGCTGATCCTGAGAAGGAAGCAGGAGGGACCCAGCACAGGGTGGGCTGGGCTGTGACTACAGGTCATGGGAAGTGGGAAAGCGACTGTGGTTGGTCTTGGGTGGCTGGGGACTGTTTCAAGGCAGAGAGACTCCTGCCGGGATTGCGAGCGCCCATGTCAGGACAGCCTGGTGAGAGCCAGCACAGGAGGAGACCGCTGGCTGGGCGGCGGGGGGAGGGGCGGGCCGGGCAGAGGGGGTCTTGAACACCAGGACTTGCTGGCCAAGACTCTGAAGTGACTTATTCCAGGGGCTCTCAACTCCAGGAACCCTGGGGTTCTGGACATTTGAATTACGTGGAAACACTTCCAGCCCCATCTCCAAAGTGAACGGAATACGCTTCTCTCGTGGGTGCCGCCCCCTTGCCCATGTCCTATTTGGTGGCTGACGTTCTCCCTTCTCACCACCGGAACCTCCGGCCGGACAAAAGCTGCTTCCGCACAAAGTTAGATGAGTTGTCTTACATTTAATCGATCAGTATTACAAAGTGTTCATGCTACATACAACCTCATTAACATCCAGGGGTGTGGGTGCCTATAAAAGGGGGGACTCCTGACCTCTGTCCTATAGGGGGGCTCGCCGGCCTGGCCTCCTGCGAGGTCAGGGGCTGTGGACGCTTGACCCGCAAGCTTCCGAGTGCTGAGCAGGGAGCCCGGCTCCTCCAGGCCTTCCCGTGAGCTGCGCGTGAGCCTGCGTGGCAGGTGGGACTTTGCAGGCATGGCCGCGAGCAGGCACACGCCACGGGAGAGCTGACTCAGCGCTCGGGGCCTGGCCTGGGCTCAGGCGTGTAGGCCCCGCTGCCTGGCAGCCAGAGGCGCACAGAGCGGAGGGAGGAGAAGGAGAAGTATCCCCGTGGGTAGCACAGAACATGAGTGACTGGGGAGGGAGGGACACAGAGAGAGCGCGCGGCCACAAACCAGCAGGCAGCTCAGAGACCGGGGACAGGTAGGGCCTGGGCACTTGGAGCCGGGCGCTCTCGCGGGCCAATCTGCCCGGGAGGTGGAGGGAGGGGCTGCAGGCAGGTTCCCGTGGGCCCTGGGCGGGCTCATCCCCTGCCGGCCGTGCCCTCCGGCGGGGGTGGCAGACAGAGCAACGGGGCTGGTAAAAAGGAACACAGAAGCATGGACATCCCCACTGCAGGCCAGCGGGACTGCGGCTCAGGGCACAGGAACAGGAACCGCAGGACCTGCGCCAAAGCAAGGACAAAAGAAGACAGTCAAAGGCAAAGCGACCATCTGGTGGGGGTGATGCAAGGGGGGGGGGGGGGCGGCAGGCTGGAGGGCAGGTGGGGACGGAGCTGCTGGGGCGAGTCTGGCTGGGAGCCTGGTGGGCAGGGCTGGTCCCCATAGGTGAGGCCGGGGTCTGAGCCCGGGCGGATCATACAGGGCAGGCGGCTTGGTGTCAGACCTGGATGTGGAACCTGTTTCTGTGACCTGGACAAGCCACGTCCCTCCTCCAAACGCAGCTGTGCAGCCTCTACCCCCCAGCTCCGCTGTGATGGTCGGGCGACAGCGCCGGGCACTACCTGTGAGGCGCTCTGCAGGTGTGTGCCCGCTGCTAAGGGGGCTGCTGAAAGTTACTGGCTCCCAAGGGAATAAGGGAGAGCGCAAGGGTCCCCAGCCCCGGGGGCCCTCGGAGGGCAGCAGAGTTGGGGGGGAGGAGGGGTGCCCCTCCTTTCTGACCGGCCGCTCTGACTCAGGTGTCGGGCCCCACAGGTGCTCACCACGCGCGGCTTGCGCTACGGGTCTGGCAGCTGCTCAAGGACCATGTCCTCGACACCATTGATCTACGGAGAGAGAAGGGAATCAGAGACGCGGCGGGTCCCCTCCACCCCCGGCTCCCGGCCGCCCGCCCCAGAGCAGCAGGCAGGCACCTCAAGGGGGTCCCAGGTGCCCCTCCCACCAACCTCCACCCCGGGATGCCCACCAGGAGGCCCTCTAGGGCCGAGGGGACTTCAGCTAGAGACCCAGAAGGTAGTCTGGCCATTCAGTTCTAACCTCTCTCTAATCTGATCCTTTAAAAATCTACAGTTGTAAATTCCCTCCCCCTTTTTTTGTTTGTTTTGGTTCTTGGTGCAGAGGCCAGGCATGGGGACCGGGAGCAGGGCCACGGGAGAGGAGCGAGGTCCCGGGCAGGGCACACACTTGCCTCGATGTGGTACACGATGCGCCAGAAGCTGGAGTCGGAGGCGCGGTACCGCCTGCCAGGGTAGAGCTGCCACATGAGGGGCAGCATGCTGGGGGGCAGCCGGCTGGGCTGCATGGCCTCCCCGCGGGAGACCTCGATCTGGCGCATGAGGACTTGGAGGCTGCTTTCTGTCTGGAGAGAAGAAGGGGGCACACCTTTGAGGCGCCTCCAGGCACAGCTGGCCCCCGAGGTGCTGGGAACCGGGCTCTAGAAGCCCCACCCCTTCAGCCCCACATGTCCTCTCAGGCACCTGGCTGCTGGGGCGGCCAGGATGCTCACGGGTAAGACACCCGGACAGGGCCACAGAGGCCCACTTCTTCCTGGCAAACCTCGAGTTGCCAGGGCGTGCCATGGGGCCTTGAGCTACCTTCCCTTTGTGGTTTGGTGCCTGTTTCAGCTGATGTGGGACTTCCTGTGATTTTTCTTTGTCATACGTCTCCTTTCATTTTTTTGAAAGTATATTTTATTGATTTTTTATAGAGAGGAAGGGAGAGATAGAGAGTTAGAAACATCGATGAGAGAGAAACATCGATCAGCTGCCTCCTGCACATCTCCTACTGGGAATGTGCCCGCAACCAAGGTACATGCCCTTGGCCGGAATCGAACTTGGGACCCTTCAGTCTGCAGGCCGACGCTCTATCCACTGAGCCAAACTGGTTAGGGGCATATGTCTCCTTTTAAACAAGAGCCCCCAGGCCCCAGGATCCGGGACAGACCACTTTTCGCCACCCCAGCACTGCCCCTTGATCATCACCTCTCACCTGGACCACTGCAAGGACTTCCTAACTCGCCACCTGTCGGACATGTGCCCCACAATATCAGTCCCTGGCACAGCAGCCGGAGGGGGGGATGTGAGGCATCCAAAAAACACATCATGTTTCTCCCTGCTCCACGCTCTCCAATGCTCCCCCATTGCAGGCAGAATGAACTGGAATCCTGACTGTGGTCCACAGGCCCACGGAGCCAGGCCCGTCTCCCTCCTCTCCGACTGTCTGTCCACCACCTCATCCCTGTCCCAGCCACTCAGGCCTCCTCACTGTTTCTGGGACATGCCACCCTTCAGGGAGCACTTGCACCCGCTGTCCTCTGCCAGGAACATTCTCCTCCGATCTACGCAGGCAAGGGTGGGGAATGTGCCCTGACCGGGAAACGAACCCGTGCCCTGGCCCTGCCAAGGCAGCAGGGGTGAGGTAATTAAATGTCTGACCACATATAGCAGGCTCTTTTTAAAGTTGATAATTTTGCATGGCCTGCAAATGATGTTATAAATATCCAAATGGCCCTTTGCAGAGAAATAGTTCCCCACCCCTGGCTTACACCTTTCTTCTAGGCAGGGATCTGCTGAAATGCATCTATATATATATAATTGTCTAAGCGACAGGCTGATAGGCCAGTAGCTATGATGCACACTGACCACCAGGGGGCAGATGCTCAATGCAGGAGTTGCCGAGCTGCCGTCACTTGGCAATAGCGGTTCGCACCCGGAACCAGAGAGGAGGGAGCCCGATTCTGGGGTGTGTCACCCGAGAACCGCCCTCTCACAATTCAGGACCCCCTGGGGGATGTCAGAGAGCCAGTTTGGGCCCGATCCCCGCAGGCCAGGCTGAGAGAGCCCACCAGTGCATGAATCCGTGCACCGGGCCTCTAGTGTCTTCTCAAGACAGATTTCAGCAAAACCCAACTCTATGATATACACAAGGGGCACCTCAAACAGAGTTCTGAAAGGGTTAAATACAGTGATGGGCAAACGCATGACAGGCAGATGCAAATTCAGACTGTGGAGGGTCTTGCTGAAGACCCACACCCCGCTGGCTGTTGCCTCTCATCTCACTTCAGTTCCCCCGCACACTTACACCAGCCTCCATGACCTGGGGGCCTTCTAACCATCAGGACGATGCCAGCTTCACATGGAGGGGGCTTCTGTCACACTCACTACAACCCCCTCAGCCCAGCATCATGCTTGGCACAGGCACTAGGTACTCTTGCCCAGCCAGCATGGCTCAGTGGTTGAGGGTTGACCTATGAACCAGGGGGTCACGGGTTCGTTTCCCAGTCAGGGCACATGCCCAGGTTTGCAGGCTCCATTCCCAATAGGGGGCCTGCAGGAGGCAGCCGATCCATGATCCTCTCTCATCATTGATGTTTCTATCTCTTTCTCCCTTCCTCTCTGAAATCAATAAAAATATATTTTAAAATACAAAAAGTCCTAGGCACTCTTTTTTGTTCAATGACTATTTTTTTCCAAAGTGGAAATAGCTTTTTAAACTTTTCTGTCTATGAAATAATTGAAAACTCACTGTTAAGAAGTAATTCAGCTCATCCTGCAAGGTGTAAGTGTGGAAATCACTATTCTTACTACATACTACATTCTTCGTGTGTAGTCTCCCCTGTCCTTCCACCATTTTCAGTTTGCTTATCCATCTTTTGCTTGTTGCTTCAAGTAAACTTTTACATGTTAAGAATACTGGGGACCCCATCCTTTGGCCAACCCATTAGCAACTCCTGACCCCATGGTTTGCTAATGGGGTGTTTTGTGCAGAATTGATAATGATTATGCAAAAAACTCTGCTTTGTGGTTTTGGTGCCATGTTGAGGATATTCCCCAGCTAGAGATTTTAAAAGATAATTCACTTAAATGTTCTTCATATAGTTGCATTTAAAAAAGTAAATATTTAGCTTGATTTTTTAAAGTATGTATATGTATATTTTGCAAATTTCAATGACACTAAAGATGCAAATTTAGATGGTGGTCAAGAGCCTGAAGTGCCAACCCCATTACCTAACCAGCAAGCAGTACTTCTTCGGACAAGTTTACATTCTTATGCCTCAGTTTCCGCCTCTGTAACATGGCGACACCGTCACCATCAGTGCCTTTTTGCTGCTTGCTATGATATTACATAAATGCCCAATATTATACATTTGAATTTTGCTTTTATACATTTTTACTTCAGTTTACATATGGAAAGTTTCAGCATTTCTCACCTGTTTCTTGGAGAAAACACATACTGATGGAAAGTATTGTAAGAGAGAGACTCCTTTTGTTTGGTAATCCTCACCTGAGGACATTTTTTCCAGAGTGGGAGCGGGAGGGGGGAGGGGAGAGAGACACATGATTGGTTCCTCCCACACACCCCCCAGCCCTGCAGCCCAGGTACATGCCTTGATCAGGAATTGAACCCGAGACCCTTTGGTGTGCAGACTGACGCCTTAATCCAGCGGTTCTCAACCTGTGGGTCGCGACCCCTTTGGGGGTCGAACGACCCTTTCACAGGGGTCGCCTAAAACCATCCTGCATATCAGATATTTACATCACGATTCATAACAGTAGCAACATGACAGTTATGAAGTAGCAACGAAAATAATTTTGTGGTTGGATCGCAACATGAGGAACTGTATTTAAAGGGCCAGAAGGTTGAGAACCACTGCTCTAATCACTCTACCACACCGGCCGGGTAGGAGATGTATTTCTTTAAGAAATGTTAACATGAACTGAAGTCCATCTTAAGTCATCACACATAAAACGTTGATTCAGGACGGGCGGTTAGACTGCTATACTATCTGCACACGTTCGTGGGGTCTTTCTCCCCAAAGCATCAAGGAGGAATGAACTACCCCAAACTCTAGGGCAGTGGTTCCCTAACTTGGTTGACCATATCTGCCCAGGGTCCCTTTAAAACACAGATTTCTGGGGCTCCCCGAGGAGGCTCCAATGACGGACCACGTGTGTGAATCACTTTAGAGCAGCGGTTTTCAACCTTCGCCATCTCCCGGCCCACGCACTACTTACTGAAACTCTGCAGCACACCGCGAAACATTTTTTGCCGCTCTGACACACACACACACACAAAATAAAGGCACAATCTTGATTCTTTCGCACCGGACGGCTGCGGTTGAGTTGGCTGTTGTCAGGGTTTTGACAATCTGAGGGCAAAGAGGTCGCGCCCCTGACAGACGGGCCGGGTGCGCGCGCTTTAACCACTCCTGCCGCCCACCCGGTGCCGCGGCACACCGGCTGGGAACCGCTGCTTTAGGGCTGTCATTCCCATTTTACAGGTTAGGACTCCGAAGCCCAGGACATTCCTCTTTCACTCAAGATCACAGTCACACGCTTCAGAGGCGCGGGGCCCCATCCTCTGGCCCGCACCCCGTTTCCCACGCCCCTCTCCGGCCGGGAGAGCGCCTCACCCTGCGAGCGCAGCTCAAACTGGTTTCACCTGGGAGCCGAGGCGCCGGGCAGTCGGCCTTCCAGTCCCGTCTCCACGCCCCGCTGCACCCAGGGGCTCCCGGGGGCCCGGAACCGCCTGGGGCGTCCCTGGCACCCAGGGCCCCGCGGGGTGCTGACACCCCGCTGCCCTGCCTGGCGGGGCCCCCAAGCAGCCTTACCTCCATGATGATGGGCAGCCAGGTGCGGTCATTCTCGTCCACATACACGTTGGGCCGCCAGATCCACAGGTGGTCGGGGTGCAGGCTCCTGCACGTGGTGAACGGGCACTCGCTCAAGGCAGTTCTCCCACTCATGGCACCTCCGCGGTGTGGGTGTGGGTGTGGGAGCCGGAGCAGGAGCGCAGCCTCGCAAAGCCTCTTGCTTGTGGACTGGACGCGGGCGGAGGCTTTATAGCGGGCGGGGCTCGGGCGCCCCCCAGCGGTGGGGCGGGAGGCGGGCGGGGCGCGGGCAGTTAAGGCAGAGCGCAGGCGGGGCCCGGGGGTGCAGGCACTATGGGGCCACCAGCGGGTCCTGAGCGCTGCGCTCAGGCCTGACTTGCGCACGGGGACCCTGGCAGCATCCAGGAGCACAGAGCGAGCCCCCAGACCGGGGCGTCCTCAGGCCCCCACCCTCCCTGATGGCGCGGTACCCCGGCCTGTGGCCTTGGCCCTTCTTCTTTACGAGGTGCCCCCGTCATCCGCCTCTGGGACCCCACTGTCTGAGTCAGCCACTGTGTGTGGCCGGTCAAGCCACACCCCAGACCGGGACTCCAGCCTCTGCTTGGAACTCCCAGTCCACGCCACGCGCCCCACCTCTTCGGGGACAGGACAGACCTGGGCCAGCCTGCACCGGGCCGGGTTCAGGACGTCACCTCCAGCCTCGGGTGTGGGCGTCAGAGTCCATTCCCTCGGCCAGTGCAGCCCCGAAGCCCCCTCCCACACAGAGGGCATGCCTCTTCCGCCCGTTGCTGGGGTCACCCCAGAGCATTGTGAAACCGGGGTGAGGAAACACGGCCTGCTCTTCACAGACTTTGAATTCATGAGTGAAAACATTGCACAGAATAAACACTTCAAAGGAAACCCTCCTCTCGCCCCAGGACCAGCGGGTTTGAGAAGTCCCAGGGTTACCGGGCCAAGCTGTCGCAGCAAACAAGCAAAACAATGTTCCTTCGTTAGGCAGTGACGCGGGCTCGTTAAGGCAATTAAGGAAATGAAGAACAAGGAGAACCTTGTCAAACCCGCTCCGGCCGCATCGCCCACGCCAGGCTGGGAGCTGTGGTGCCTCAACTTCCAGCTCTTTCCTGTCACTCCCACGAGGCCCCGGGAAAGGAATCCGTGGTCTGTGGAAAGGCGGTGGAAGGGAAAGGGAGCCGAAGAGCTGGCCTCGACAGCAGAGGCCCGCCCGGCCGGTTCCCACGAAGGCTCTGCGTGATGGAGATGGGATTGGATTCACCAGGGACGTAAAAATAGGAGACAAAAGCCAAGTAACGTTTGGGGGGGTGGGGGGGGGGAGGCACCAGCCCCGCAGAGCCCCAGGGGCGTTAGGACTTAATAACATTCCGGTTGGTGGCTTTCACGCTGGTTTCCTCGTTGATTGTTTTTAATTCCAGACCCAGAGAGCCACTGCCTAACTGCTCTGTGGGGCAGGTCTCAGCCCTGAGCTCTGAGGACGCAGCACCAAGTCCAGCTTAAACCGCCTGCTGGGATGGCCAAGGGAGGGGGCACCCAGGAGCCATGGGGCCGCCGACCAGCACATCCGTGGCCCCGGACCGAGTGCCGCCACCGGGGCTGCCGATCTCATCGGCACCTGACCTGCTCTTCTAAATCGGCCTCAGAGGGGCAAGCAGCGGGACAGGAACCAGACCCGGCGGGCGGCCGCGCTGTGCGTGTTCTGGGAACGTGGCCCCCGCCTTTGCAAGAACAGTATTCTCTGCGGTTTCACACGAGGGCAGGAGAATGCGTCGTTCTTGGGGAGGACTTAGGAAATCGTGTGAGAGGGGCTTCCAGGAACTGCCAAGTGAAGAAGGATGACGGGGTTCGCTGGGCAGCTTCTGTGGAGGCCGGAGCCGTCTCCATGGGAATCCCACGAGAGCGGAATCGGGGCGCTGTGACCGCAGACGGGGCCTCTCCAGCGGGCTGTCCGCCCGACACTGGCTGCCTGAGGGCAATCAAGTGGCTGTTTCCTGTGGGAAATACCGCAAAGCAGTTCTCTGGACTCATGCACAGAACCTTTAACTGGTACCTTCATGCCCTGCCTCGGACCCAGTGTGGATTTGACCCAGGAAATCTGCCCTCCGTGGCCATCTCATTGCCACACGTTCGTGATGAGTGGCCCCAGCCCAGTGCTCCGAGCCTGGATCTAGCTCAGTGATGGCAAACCTATGACACGCGTGTCAGAGGTGACACGCGAACTCATTTTTGTGGTTGATTTTTCTGTGTTAAGTGGCATTTAAATATTTAAAATAAATATCAAAAATGTAAGTCTTTGTTTTACTATGGTTGCAAATATCAAAAAATTTCTATATGTGACACGCCACCAGAGTTAAGTTAGGGTTTTTCAAAATGCTGACACGCCGAGCTCAAAAGGTTCGCCATCACTGAGTCCTAACCCTCGATCGTCGTCAGGGCGCTGCAAGGGCCTGCAAAGGCGCCGGTGTGTCTGGCTCCACAACAGCCCAGACCCTTCAGCTGGTGGGTGGCACCCTGGCTGCTCATTAGGGTCACCTGGGAGCCCATCGGAAACACCTGTGCCCGGGCCCACCCAGACCAGCGAGCCCTGAATCTCTGGGATGGCGGTGAGGTGTGGGCATCACTTTTTTTTTATTTAAGGGGCTCCTCAGGACTTTAATGAGCAGCCTGGCTGAGGACCGTTTCTCTAAGATTTGAATCACTGTTCTTGAGGCGGGAACAAGATTTATAAAACGAAATAACCGCGGAAGTGTTGGAGCTATTCTCCTGCCGTCAGTTCTCACTGTAAACTTCCCTCACCCTGGCCCGCACGTCCGTTGTCACTTCGTCCCCTCTGCTCCACGTTTCATTTGCTGCTTCCAGCCTTCTGCGTGCAGAGGCCCATAGAGCCAGGGTCATTAGGACTGTGAGGGTCCGAGGTCTTGCCGACATAGGAACTCTGATGTGGAGATGCGGAGGCAACCAGGCGGCCGCCTAGGGTGGTTTTTAATTATTCCTCGGTCTGGGCCAGAGTGGAGATAATTAAGGCGGGTGATCAGGTGAGCTCAGGTTAGAAGGGATGTTACAGCCTTTCTCCAAAGGGATGGAAGTTCCTCTCTCGATTAAGAGCGAATCTGGGACACGGATATTCTCAGAGAACTCGGGGACTGATCCTGGCTTTGCCCGCTGCGTCGCTACTCTCTCTCTCTTTAAACTTAATGAAGTTTCCATGTTTATATCCTAGGTCAGACCCTAGTTGTGATAGGGGCAGAAATAGAATACTGGGGACCAGCTAATTGTAGGAAATATCAATCCTGCTCTGTTAACCGTGATGGTTGTATTCTGATTAAAGAAAGCGCATTCCAGCCTGCCTGGCAGTTACACGCGGGACCTGGGAGCTCACCTCCGGAGGCCGCCCCGCCTCCCCGTTGGGAGCTGCCTGTTACCAGGGAAAGATGAACAACTTTGTTGCAGAACCAGAATCGCCAGCCCTTTGAAGACCCCCAGCCCCTGCGTACCCGCAGGCCTTTGCAAATCCCCAGCCCCCATTCGCTGTAAACAGCGCATTTGGCACACCCTTTAGCCTCCTTCCCCAGGGAATCTTTGTCCTTCTGCCCAATATATTAGTAAGCAGATGTCTGTGGCTGACCTGCTGCTCTCACACTGCCGGCAGGATCGGGATAAACGCTCTTACAGGATTCAACCCTGTCTCTGCTTCATTGGCTCAAGTAATGACAGGCAGCGCGGACCCACTGGTTGTCTGGTTATAGCGGTATCTTAATTTTTCCAAATTTTTCAGCCAATCTCCCAAACACTACTGAGGGCATGATCTGTCCACATAAGATTTCTGACACCACCACTTTTGAATACCAAGTCCCCATGTGGAAATGGATCTGTTCTGGGCTCCATTCCGAGCCATTTGCTTGCCATTATGCTAAAACCATACTGTAAAAGAATTATGAGTTTGAATTTGAAATACTTGGTGGGGTAGGTCCTCTCTTTTTGTTCCTTTTCAAAATTGTACTCTTTGCATCTCTAAATTTTTTGTTAATACTTTAGGGATTTGTGGCATTTCATTGAATTTGTATAGTTTAGGAAAACCCTTTTTATCCTATATAATAAAAGCCTAATATGCAAATTGACCAAAGGCGGAACAACCTGCAAAATGACCAGTCGCTATGATGTGCACTGACCACCAGGGGCCAGATGCTCAATGTAGGAGCTGCCCCTAGTCTGCAGGCCCCAGGCCAGCCAAGGCGGGTGCCAGTAGGGGCCCCCTGATTGCCCCACCAGTCGCCCCACAGAGGGAGGCAGTGGCCAGGGGCGGGGCTGGCGAGCAGGTGGTGCCAGGCTGGCCTAGGCGGATGCCAGGGGAGGCTCCCCAATCACCCTGCTAGTCACCCCATAGATCTGCCCTGATCACTGACCAGGCCTAGGGACCCTACCCATGCATGAATTTTACTCACTGGGCCTCTAGGGCTTTAATAAAATTTTATAACTTTCCCATAAAAGCGTTGCATATTTTGTTCACCTTACTTCTAGGCATTTTTATAGTTTTGCTGCTTTTGTAAATGGTATTTTTTTTTTAATGCTACTTTCTGGCATAAAAAAAGGCTATTGGATGTTGGTGTTGGCTGTATACCCCACATCCTTGCTAACTTCTCTTAGTTTTAATGGTTGGTTTACCTGCAAACGAGATAGTTTTTTCCCTCTTCCCTCCCAATCTTTATGCTTCCCCTTGTCTGTCTATTTGTCTGTATCTTTTCCTCGGTCTCTTAACTCTGTCTTTTTGTCTTATGGCCTTTGGAAGTTTGTTAAAATGCATTGACTTGCAGGAGTGAGAGAAGGTGGGCTTTCCTGCCTTGTTCCTGTCTTCAATGAGAACTCTTCCAAAGTTTCACCAGTAGGCGTGAAGGTATTAGCAGGAAGTTTTGGTAGCTGGGCTTTATCAGTTAAGGAACGTGCTACTTCTTAAGATTTAAAAAATATATATACGTTTTTTTATTGATTACAGAGAGAGGAAGGGAGAGGGACAGAGGTATAGAAACATCCATGATGAGAGGGAACCATTGATTGACTGCCTCCTGCAGGCCCCCTACTGGCAATCGAGCCCACAACCTGGGCATGTGCTCTGACTGGGAATTGAA